CATATAATTATACTAGAGAGAATGTGAATAACAACGAATTTGTTAACAAGTTTGTGTTGTCTTGGTCTACAGAACACTATATTAATTAATGTCTGCAAGGGCGGTGGTAAAACATGAGATGGAGAGGGAGGAGTTAATTGTGATAAATCGTTATTGAACGAATTAATTAACATTTTGAATATACTAGTAAGAAAAATAAACTCGTATGAGAGTTTAAAAGCGTACATGCATGATTGTGTATATAAACGTAAACAGACATACAATAAAATGGGCAAATACCATTAATCCCTTTTCCATAACCAACAGGCACATTTGACACATGCTATAGAATGTAAGGAAGCTCCTTCTGTTGATGTTGTTTGTTTGAAACATTGTCTTATCTTATTTGTGTCGTGTATAATTATGGGAAAAGTGTTTGTACTTTAACATGTTAATACGTTTCCTGATCATGTACTTGACAGTACGTCATATAATATTATGCAGGCCGATTTGCAATGGTAAAAAGGCTGTTTGTGTCGACTAACAATCATCATTATGATCTCTTTAAAATTGAAATTAATGTACAATCTTGTACAGTATCTGAATGTAATACTTTCCCAGTTGCTAACTATGAATGTCATAGTCACAAGGGAGAGTGGTAAATGAGCAAAGAGACGCACTTTCGTCGCAACTTTCTTCTCTAATAGATAGGTTTGATATTACCATCTATATCATAGGCGCCGGAAGTGGGGGGCAGGGGGGGGGGGGGACAAAACGCATTTTGCCCCCCCCCCTCCCCTCCAAAAAAAAAACAAACAAAGCAGTAAAGGAGTAAACATGGTTTGTATTTTTAACCCAAAAGAACATAACAATAATAAAATCCTGAATTAAATCACGTATACAATTCCATTCAAAGAAAAGAAACGTTCACAGGAATTAAATTTCATAAACATTGCGCATGCCACCTATACGGTATTTATCAATGGATGTCTTTATAATAGCGCATATCATGGACATATTGTGCGCCGAGAATGGGAAAGCGTGTCTGTTTTTTTTGTTATAGGGGTGAGAAGACATGAGCCCCCGAACGCTGGCGTACTGATGGGGGGGGGGTGTATTTCTTATTCGATACCAGTGATTTACAAATGTTGTTGTTATGACATGATTTTCCGGTATTTTTTCTCCATTTTTTTTTGTAAGTCTTACCTTTTTATACGTTTGTTGGACGATAAGAAATTCCCAAATTACAGTCGAGCGAAAAATACGCTTATTTAGAAGCCTTTATGTCATGGTCTGCAAAGTTGCTGGGTTCGAGCCCCCCCCCCCCCCACCTCACTTTTTGAAAAAGTATGTTAAAGAGAAAAAGAAAGAAAGACGGAGAGAAAAAATAAGTGACCTGCCAATGTCACAAATAAGGTATAAAAAAAGCTCATCTGACCGTAATTAAATGCCTTAAACCCCAGAGCTTAAGGGGGCTCCGCCCCAAACCCCACCAAGGGCCTTAAGGCGGCCCCCTTGATGCTCATCTGACCGTAATATACCTAAAACCCCTGAGCTTCCGGGGGTTCTGTCCTTTGGATACTCATCTGACCGTAATTAAATACCTAAAAACCCCGAGCTTTCGGGGGTTATGCCCCCTAGACCCCACCAATGTCCCTAAGGCGGGCTCCTGGATGCTCATCTGACCGTAATTAAATACCTAAGCCCCTGAGCTTCCGGGGGCTCTGCCCCCTGGACCCACTATAGGGCGGGCCCCTGGATGCTCATCTGACTGTAGTTAAATATTAAAACCTCTGGGCTTCTTGGGGCTCCCCACCTGGAACACGTCAATGGCTTAAAGAGGGCCCCTGGATGCTCATCTAACCGTAATTTAATACCTAAAACCCCTGAGCTTCCGGGGCTCAGCCCCTTGACCCCCTACCGAGACTCATGCCCTGGACCCTACGCCAATTTACGCTCTAGCTGATCGTTAATACTCCACTTTGAAAAACGTTCCGCGGGAGCTGCATGTAACATGTAAGACTGGTGGTGATGCAGATTTTTTCGTCTGCCCCCCCCCCTTCCGAACGTTTTTTACTCATTACGTCACTGCCCCTGGAAAGCGAGCCCCCTGGAATGTTTGCCACCCCCAACCCCTCCCCCCCCCCAATCCCAAACTGTTTCCGGCGCGCCTGATCTATATAGTACTAGTACTGATTCTTTATTCTAATGTTGCCATGTATTACCGTAGAGGCTATGACTACGAGAATGAAGAAGAGAAAATGTTATATACTGTAATATCAATGAATTATAAAGCATAAGCGGATAACATGGGATTAATTTCTTCTTTCAAAATCGTTTCAAAATTACAGTAAGTTCATTGGCTGCATGTATCTCTTTCAAAAAGTGTTTGAACTAACTATAACAATCCCATTTTTGTCTTGATGTCTTGATTTGAAATGTCTTGATTTGAAATGTCTTGATTTGTAACTGTCCCTTATTACCTACGCATGTTGGTAATGAGAGACCTTTGGTGATGACGTCATAAATTATTTTTATCTTATTAATCAGTTACATCATGACCACAATTTTGTTTCCCAATAAAGAGAAGAAGTTACTAAAGAGAAAACAAAACTTTCTGTATGTGTAACATTTTTCATGTTTATGTAAATTATGGAAATGTGCTTAAAGGTAAAGACCAGTTATGGTCATGCGATTGCATTGTGAAAGAAACGTTGTGGAATCGATCAGAAAAGGTTGATCATATAGCATCTAGCATCTGCGAGGTTCTGGAATCATCAAAATGATAAGAAATTTGGCCCATTCTTCGTAAAGTTACAAGCACTATACACAGAAAGATGTACATGGGACTACCCTATATCTCTCACAGACCATGAGAGAAACAAATTTACCAAATATATGAATTAGTAGGCGGTTTCCCGGCAAATTTCTTTATCATCATGACTGTATTAGTCAAAACATATTCTTTCACAATGATTGGTAATGAGAGCTTCCATTTAATTTTTTGAAATTGGGGCGTTTCCAATACTGGTCTTTACCTTTAAGGGTCTCCAATTCCCCACACCTACCCTAGTACTAGAAATTAAAGAGGGCACTTACGAGAATGGAAAATGGACACTTATTGCAATGGAAAATGGGAACTTGTCGAAGGAAAAGGGGCACGTGTCAAAATAAAAGGGGCACTTATCAGAGTAAAAGGAGCACTATTCCTATGTAAAAAGGGGCACTTTTCGGGTGCTTGAAAAAGTGGGGGGGGGGGGGGGGCACTGTGCCCCTACTCCCCCCAGGAGGGCGGCCTCTGCTGGGGAGTATTCCTACCATATGGTCACCGTGAAGGCATAGGCATAACTAACACAAACTAACACGGTAAAGAGTTAATATTCCAGTTTATAGACAATGTACATGGCGCTATACGGTGGTGAAAAATTAATAGTGCAGTTTATCCATAGACAATGTATATGGCGCTGTAGGGTGGTGAAACGTTAGCGTAGGGTGGTGAAGAGTTCATAATTATTCCAGTTTATCCATAGACAATGTACAGGACGCTAGGGTGGTGAAAAGTTAGCGTAGGGTGATGAAGAGTTAATATTCCACTTTATCCATAGACAATGTACATAACTGAAGGGTGGTGAAAAGTTAGCGTAGGGTGGTGAAGAGTTAATATTCCACTTTATCCATAGACAATGTACATGACGCTAGGGTGGTGAAACGTTAGCGTAGGGTGGTGAAGAGTTAATATTCCACTTTATCCATAGACAATGTACATGACGCTAGGGTGGTGAAACGTTAGCGTAGGGTGGTGAAGAGTTAATATTCCACTTTATCCATAGACAATGTACATAACTGAAGGGTGGTGAAAAGTTAGCGTAGGGTGGTGAAGAGTTAATATTCCACTTTATCCATAGACAATGTACATGACGCTAGGGTGGTGAAAAGTTAGCGTAGGGTGGTGAAAAATTAACATTCCACTTTATCCATATATAGACAATGTACATGACGCTAGGGTGGTGAAAAGTTAGCGTAGGGTGGTGAAGAGTTAATATTCCAGCTTATCCATAGACAATGTACATAACTGAAGGGTGGTGAAAAGTTAGCGTACGTAGGGTGGTGAAAAATTAATATTCCAGCTTATCCATAGACAATGTACATGACGCTAGGGTGGTGAAAAGTTAGCGTAGGGTGGTGAAGAGTTAATATTAACATTTATCCATAGACATGTACATGGCGCTAGGGTGGTGAAAGTTAGCGTAGGGTGGTGAAGAGTTAATATTCCAGCTTATCCATAGACAATGTACATGGCGCTAGGGTGGTGAAAAGTTGAGATCGTGAAAAATTATATCCATAGAAAATATGTACATGACGGTGACATAATGGTGAATAGTTTCTGCGTATACCACCTTTCAAATATATAACATATGACAAATAACATTTATGCATGACTTATAATTATGGTGCGGGGATATATTGCAATTCAAAAGAAGATAATAACTTTTTAATTTCTAGCATACATGAGGTGAGGTCTTAGTATAATTCTTTGATTTGCCCCTAAGTACTGCGCTTTACCCCCCCCCCCCCTCCATCATCTACTCTCATTATATCCGACCACCATGCCTATTTTAATTGGTAGCCAGCCATCGTTGCACTGATCATGCCTGACGGATACAATACACAAAGAATATATTGCGTTTGTGTAGTACCGCGGTTGTATGTGTACAATGCGATCCTTACACTTATCAAATTGGCAATTTTTACACATTGGATGGGCTACCTTCATCTCCGATTAGGTGTGTGAAGAAAAGCTTCACCCGTTGAAATTTGTACCGTCAGAAGTGGAACCTCGTTCAGATGCGATATCAGTCAATCTTCTTTAATATACTATTTAAATAATTGTTAATATACTATTTAAATAATTTATACCATTTCAATGAAATTTATTGTAGTTTAATTATTTTTTAAAGTAATTTAAATAACAAAATAGTGATATTATCAATTAAGAAACACATAAACTGATATTTAATAGTTGCACGTTGTGAACGAGGAGCCCGAGAGGATGGTCGGAGATACAGCTAGCTAGGAGTGTGTTGCAGAAACAGTACAGCGAAGTGCATGCATAAGCCTACTGTGCATAATATGTATACAGTTTGTTGTTGTTGCTCCAACTGGTTTACAGATGCGAGCTCAGCTCAGTGACTGAGTCACTATTTAGACTTAGAGTTCGACAAGCTCAAACTGAGTCCAAATATCAGGTGAATATGTCGGAATCTGTCCAACGAATGGACGAACTCATCAGAGATTATCTACTTTACCGAGGTCTGACTAATTCACTGAAGAGTTTTGATGCGGAATTGAAGAATGACAAAGACAAGGGATTTCGGGTAAGTTTTTATTAATATTAATATTAATTTAAAGGGAAATCCAGGCTTAATTGCCTCACAACTTGAATTATCCTAAACTGCTATTAAAGGTAAAGACCAGTAGAGTAAAACCACCAAACTTCGGACACCGCCAAACTTCGGACAAAAATTACTTCAACCGCTCGAACGCAAAATATGAGCCTAGCTCAGGCGGGTAACTTGCATGCATTTGATACTACTACTAACCTACATCGTTAGTACAGAAAGTTAGGGCAGGTTGCCGTCTGCAAAACTCACAAAAAACATCGAATTCAGAGACAGATTTCAGGTTACCTGGATTTTTACAGTCCCTTAACAGGGCCGGGGAGTTAAGTATAGAGCCTTCAATATATCGATTACAAACAAATCCTTGGCATATTTCACGTGGTTTCTGCCAAAATTATGGGAGCTTATGAGATACTTTTTCACTCTATCGCAAAATTTTTCTAATGGCGGCCGTTACCACGGACCTAGGGGTACTATACAGGTACCCCTACCAGAAGATGGTGCTCTTCCAAACTTCGGACAGGCAACATTGAGTGTCATTTTGACTACGAAAAAACAGCGCCATCGTAAGATTTTAGCACCAAAATATTGTGTGAGTGTTGTTAAAAACACCTTTCTGATAGTTCTACCTAAAATAAATCTACCCAAAACGAGAAAATAATACTTTTTTCATGAAATCAACGCAGTCAAACTTACCCCCGTCGTACCATTTTTGATCCGGTTTCCGAACCTACGATGAATGCGCACTTTAGCGCGCGCTGTACGTGCGCTGTACGTGCGCTATGCGCTATACGTGCGTTATACGTGCGCTACTCATGAACGTCCGAAGCTTGGCAAGTGCGTCCGAAGCTTGGCATGAAAAAAGGTTCGGCGGGTAAGTAAATAATTCTAGTTTTCCATTTCCTTTACTAATTTTCTTTTCATGATATACATAAACAGTATTTGCACAATAATAGTATATTTGATCTTTCAATAATTAAAAAAAGAATTTAATGTTTTCCCCCGTTTTGTCTTAAGTGTCCGAAGTTTGGCGGTCTTACTCTATTGAAAACGCCCCAATTTCAAAAAATGAAATGGAAGCTCATTATTACCAATCATGTGAAAGAATATGTTTTGACTAATACATGATGATACAAATTTTGCCGGGAAACCGCCTACTAATTGATATATTTGGTAAATTAGTTTATCTACATGGTTTGTGACAGATAAAAGTCTACTAAGACTAGATCTAGTAAGAGAAAACAGAAACATCATCGAAGCAGACTGATGAAAGTCTGAATCAGACAAAAAGTAACATAATTTGTTAACTTTCTTGTAAGTTGTCAATCATTAATTAATTGGTTATGTGATGGATAGCTTCAAACTGGCTGAATCGGTAATGTCACTGTGACGAAGTGCCAACATAGTAGCAGGCAACAGGCAACACAAAATGATTAAAATGTCAATTTTTAAAACGCATAATTTGACAGGGTCTATTCTTCTTAATTTGCAAATGGCAGTTTTTATTAGAGAGTTCCCCATATACGTGGCAGTTACATGTATATCTGTTTAGAGGAATTCTCAACATTTCAATCAATTCCTTTATGTATTGAATTGTTCCCGGAGACCACTCCATCTGTTGTTCTTTTATCTGACAAAATATGTGGAGTGAATAGTGGTTTTTCTATATTCATGATAATTGCCCAACTTTTTTGTTACTTATTTTATTGATCTGCAGCAAGGTGAAAGATGATTTCATGTGATAATTAGTCTTATAGTCAGAGTCAGTTCTCTTATTTTGAGAAGTGTGACGTTACACCTATTTTTTCCTCCCCAAAAGAAATTCTCTTCTAGAGGAATTACAAATGATCACATGAAGAGCTCTTGACCAATCCTTGACCAAGAAATTTTCCTTGAAGGGTATAATATGAGATGAAGTTCTTATTCAATAAATTTCTAGAAGAGCACCGGTAGTTATGTCCATTTTGTTTTGCTTTCTTATCGGATAAAAGTCTGTTTTATGATCTGAAGAGGGAGGTATTGTCGTGCACATGTATATTCTTTTCTTTTTCTTTTCATTTTCCTTTCTTTCCTTTACTTTTTTTGTGAGTTCAGGCAGACAAGATCCTGGAACAGCTTTTAGGGTTTATCTCAACCTTTGACCTCCTTGGTCTGAAGAACTACTGGGAGCACTTAGAAAGGAGGATCTTTTCTCATCTTGAGTACACCCATGCTCACAATGTCAACAAATTACGTATCAGTGTTCTTAGGTAAGGTATCATCTCTATAATTCTCTGTATCTTAGATACATGTATGAAGTTTGAATAATTTTTAACTTTAACAAGAGACAACCAATGATTTAAACTTTGAAGATTTACTATGTAGATTCATTCAATTTCATGCAGTTTAAGTAATAATTAGAATTCTTGATAAAGGATGATACCATTGTTTGCATTGATGTGCAGTTATTTGTGTTATGTTTATACGTTGTAGCTACAATTCTTATTATTTTCTGTTTGTACACTGTGCAAAGAAAATCAAAATTACTTAATGGAACCATCAACAAGATGAAAACAAGTCTAAAAAGATCATTTTGTAGCACAAAAAAGAAGAACTTGAAATGGCCTACTGTATGGATCTTAAAGGCCCACTGCACTACTGGTAGCTACTTGCGCCCTCTATATAACAAACAATGCCTAATCGGTGACCATTGGTCCCCCATGATCCTCTTTTTCTTATGTTAACTGAGAGCTGAGTTGATGAGATAACCACCTGTCCAGTGACCTTGCAGGGCAGTCTAATCCCTCCTGTAAACTATGGCAGATAAGCTTTAATAGAAAACTGTGTAATCATCATTTTTCATGCTCCAGGCTATATGTGGTGAATGCAATCCAGTCAAACAGAACAGACAGAGTGACTGAATTCTTTGAGAAGTTGATTCCAGAGATACAGAGCCAGGTTGAGTGGAAAGAATGGTTTGGTAAGTTACAAAGAAAAAAAAATCCCTAAATGTTTGAAATATGATTTGAAGAAATCGTTGTGGGATCGGATAATTCATCAGTCTTATATTTTTGCTTCATTGCTTCCTGTTATTAGTCTAGAGCTATGTAAGTGATGCTTGAAAAATTACCTGTTTTAGCAAATGTGAAAAAAAAAAGATTTTATTGGAGAAGCCTGCATCTCTGGATGTTTTTAACAGAAATATTGTGCCGTATAAATGTTGTATATCATCAGCATCATCGTTTTTACAGCAACTTGAAATTGGATTACAGGAAAGTTGAAAAATGATTATAATGCAGCCTGATCAAGTTGATATCAAAGTGGTTGGTTTGCTAGTGTTTTTGAGTCATAATAATGTACAATAGATTTTAATATGCATATAGATCTGTTGGACTTTTAATTTGTTTTAAATTGCTAAATTGATAAGTAATAAGTACATGTAACAATGAGTGATTTTGGGGTATTTGTTTTTGATATTGCAGTCTTGCCGTACTTGAGGAACCCGGAGCAGAGTCCTCTATTTTCCCTCTACTTCAGCAAGCAGTGGGAAGAGACACTCAAGATATCACTTCATAACTTCCTCAGCATCATCTTTCAATCGATGCATATCCTTTTTGAAAAATAAAAAAAATAAAAAAATGCAGGTACCTTCACTCGCATGACACATGCTGTAGCAAAAATTGCTCCACAGTCAATGAGTGATTGCAAGTTGGGTGTTAGTGTTAACAAAAAAAATTTGTTGATGAAATTAAGAGCTTGATACCGATATCAATATCGATAGCTAAACACCACGTACAATGATTTAAAAATAGTACATCAAAATTAAAGATACCATGAAAAGCCAATGAAAAAATAAATTTAAAAAGTGAGTCTTGGAAAGTCATTGAAATCGATCATGCATGCAGGCCGCCTGTGGCTATTGCAGCCTTCCAGTTTGAACTGACAATGGGCATAGTCTTTATACGCTGCTTGGATGCCCTAACCCATGCCAAAATGGTACTTATAAATCTGGTCATGGAAATAAAGCAAAAAAAATGGGTCATGGAAAATCACGTAAAGTCATGGTATTTGGTTCTCAAATTTCTGTGGGAACCTTTAGTCCTGACTTTTTTTATAATAGTTGGGAGCAGGTTTGCCTTAGCAAATTTGTTAGCACCATGTAGCTATATGCAATTTACAAATATACAGTCCTTTCTCAGGGATATTCAAATATGCTTTTGATACAAGTTCTGAGATGCACGGCCCTATGTGTTATCAGTGTCTGTGATATGGTGTAATATTGAAGCCCTAAACAAATCACGCTCCAAAATGATCAAGAAGTGCCTCAAAAAAGTAAAAATCTCTGAGTGACCGGTTTTACCATACTCATTTTCCCCAATAGACTGTAGTGTTATGAAAACCGTTAGGAAAACGCAAAATTTGGTTTCAATTTCCAATCATATATATCTTGATAATCAGACAGGTGATCGGCTTGTAAAAGTCATGGGGTTCCTGACTGACCTAAAGGTTTATAATTATCATTGCAGCATGAGCTAAATCCAGGATTTTGTTTCAGAATCTGAGACAAAGTTTCTGGATCCCTTTAATTTGACAGCATTTGAAAATGTAATTGCAAATTTTTGTAATAATGAGTAAGACTTGGTATTGAAAAAAATAAATCCAGGGGTTGTGTTTGCTATTTCACTTGTGCAAGCTCCCATCTATTTCTTTTATTTTTGGTGTCGAGCCATGCTCTTTAATATCCTTCTATGACCTTATATGACCTTAACTACCTTGCACCCTTGCCCATTCTTATGAACTTTGATGCTGAACATCAGAAGATTGTTGACCTTCAGGAGGAGAATGCCAAGTTACAAGATCAAGTGATCAAGCTCACCGATCAGGTCGCCAAGTATGAGGACCAGATGGGCAGACTACAAGAACAGGTCTGTCTCTCTGTCCACAAATTTTCATCTAATCAGAGATATCTCCAAATAAAATGCCATGAATAATAATAATAAGAATAATATTATGTTTTTATATAGCGCCCAATAGATCGATACAACGATGCGTCTAAGCGCTTTACAGATATATTATTACCCCGGTCATCGGATTCAAGCATACCCGCACACAATGTGTGCACATTCTCCACTCCCATGGGAGCATTGTGAATTGGCATTGTGTGGTGATGTAGTGCACTAAGTGAATTTTAAAATAGTCTTCTTGAAAACATTGTCCTTGCTGGTTCATACAAACTGTTTAATCACCATTTTCGAAAGTCAGTTTCAGATGAAGCTAAGATATTGGCTTGTCATATTTTTGCCATTTCAAGTTTTCAACTTATCTAAAGTGGTGAAGGAATACCGTGTCAGGAAAAGCTGATTTTAAAGTAATCTGCAACTGTTCATGATGCAGTTGATTGATTATTTGGATTGCCAAAATGTGAACGATCTAAAATCACATTCATTGTATTACCATATCATCTGATGCTCTACATGTTGTAAAAACTACAAGCTTAATTTTCTTTTCTCATTCTTCAACTATTAAAATTCCTACACAGTTTGTTTTGAATATTATTATTAGTTTTAATCATTCATGCAAATTTGGTATAAATTTTTTCTGTTATTATTTAACCCAGGTTTACCTATCAAACAGAATTTGTTTATTTCAAAGAGATTTGATAGTTCAGTGGATTTAGTTTTAATGCTAATTCTTATTGCAGGTGAGACAGCTTTCTTTGAATGAGAAATCTGAGTCTCCAGATGTTTCTGATCAGTCCAGTAACTCTGGTACCGGGTGAGTTAATGAAGAGTTTTTTGTAGAAATTATTTCAGTGATGTCATAGATCATGCAAGCAATGTCATTGATGTGCATGTGGAAAGTCTTTGTTCATAATTTAGATCTCATAATTATTTTGTGTAATTAGGTCTATGTTTCTTGTTGGAATAGGCCGTCAAAGGCTTGAGAATTCAAGTTTTATTATTCATGATATACATCTATAATAATAATACGCTAAGGCTCCGCGGGGGGCGCGATGTCTCTGCCAGCCTTTGTATTCTATTGTTTTTTAATGAGATCGCCGACCGAAGTTGGTGCAGCTATCTCCTCCTGAACCCTCCCCTCGGGGTCCCGGTGCCCGGTGCCATCGTCCGCGGGAGAGTCTACTCTGTGGAATTGGCTATACTCCGCCCGAGGTCCTCCTCCGTGTCGACGTCCAGGGCGAAAACAGACGCGATATGCATAATGCATGATATGCGTGACGACAGAGATACCTCATGCATATTCAACATTACATCCGTATCAAAGAGACACACGATAGACGACGAGCAACTCACATTATGTTGCGTATTAAATGCTCTATGCAAAGGGCGGGATTACACACGAGTAAGCCATCTTGCTATAGGGTGTGCTTTGTACTAGCTGCAAAAGCCCGAGAGATACACGGGGCTAATTCCCGTCGACGTCCAAACTTAGAGACCTATTTCCATCATGATTGCCGCGATTTTGATATAGTTTTCGTGAATGGAGGTATGAAATCAAAGCTTATTTCGTGATTATTACAGACATGTATATAAAATTTTGATCATCATTTTCTAAAGGAAAGTTTTTACAAGAAAACCATTGGACTGACAGTTTAGTCGCAAGCTGCATTCAGTCAACACACAGTGCAGTGCTGCTGTGCAGTGTGTGAGAGTTGAGATGAGCTTGCAGGAAGCTCCAACACAGGCACCGCGCACCGTAGGCGTCCGATGCCTGCGGCGCCGGTGTTGACCTTCCTGGAGTGTGTGTGAGTTCAGCTGAGCTGAGCTTGAGTCGAAGAGATTTGACACTTTGAAATTGTTATCTGTTGGTTTGCATCATTATTGCCGCGATTTCAATATAGTTTCGTGAATAGATTTACGAAACCTAAGCTTAGAATTAGTAAAAGTATTACTAATGTCTACGTTTTTAAACTACTGTCTGATTTTCTTGTGAAAATTTTACTTTGAAAAATGATTATCGAAATTCATGGTCAGAAATAATCACAATCTAGGGTCTATATTACGTTACAGTTCTTGCATCAAATCAATGCATGAAAACTTAGTTATTGAACTAGAAAAATGTTGTGTTTTTTTTTAATAGGCAATTATGAAGTAGGAAGCCTGAAACCTTAGCCTACTAAACAAATCTCAACAAAGTGTAGGCCTATCCTTTGATGAATTAATGAAAAAGTAGCCCCAGAAAAAAGAGCCCCCGAAAGTTGAAAAAGTAGCCCCCGAAAATTTCCCAAAAATTTGTAGTGGAGCCCCCTCTAGAATCCCGCGGATTTCCGCGGGTCCTGAGTCGAGTGTATATATAATATAGGCGTGGGGTCCACGGGTTTCAAGGGGCCATAAACCCCCGAAAGCTCGGGGGGTTTAGGCATTTAATTAGGGTCAGATGAGCATATTTTTAATACTTTATTTGTGACACTTGCGGGTCACTAATTGGCGTGGGGTTAATACGTAGAGTTGCGTAGTGTTGCGTACCAACCTTGCTGGCCTACGTTACTATATGCTGAGGGACGGAAACAATTCAACATGTTTAATTTTTTTCGCGTACTTTCGACGTAGAAACTCGACGCAGAAAGTACGCCTTTTTACGCAACACTACGCTACATGACTACGCAACAGTACGCTATACCCTACGCCAGATCGACAAAGCAGTAAAAGTTTTCCACACAGTAAGCAACCATAAGCAAACCTGTACGCCAGCTTACGCATAACCTACACAGGGACAATTTTCCCATTAATACGCAGCCTAATTTCTGCGTAGTCGGTACGCCACACTACGGAACTCTACGCAGTTCCAGTGGCTTAAAGAATAACTACCGGTACAGTTGGATCGTGTTTTTTAAATTTTTTATATAAGGCCAAATTTAAAAAAAAACATGTTTAGCGTCATGTTTTTTTGAAAAATGGGAATGAGGAGGCCCTTTTTTTTTTTTTCTTCTTTCAAAATGGCCGCTCCGTACATTTTCCCTGAAATTCGGGCTATTTTTCAAGATGGCGGCCGACAATTTTTTTTTTTTTTTTTTAAATCATAAATACATTTTAGCAGTGCTCTTCATGTTTTTTTTCTTTCAAAAAAATAAAAATAAAAATAAAAAAAAAAATAAAAAAAATAGGAGGCGGCCCCCAAAAAGGAAGCAAACGGGGACGCTGTTTTTTTTTCTCTCTCTCAAAAAAAAAAAAAAAATTAAAAAAATTAAAAAAAAAAAAAAAGGAGGCGGCCCCCAAAAAGGAAGCGGGCGGGGACGCTAAACATGTATATTTTTTTAATGGCCTGAATGGCAAATAAAGTTCTTGACGATCTCTATATATCTATTTACACCCCCCGCCCCCTCTAGAATCCCGCGGATTTCCGCGGGTCCTGCTAGTGTATAGTATACAAGTATATATTTCTATCTGGTTTCTATTCTCTCTGTTGTGTGAACTATGAATTGTGAATAAAAGTTTTGATCATGAAAGTGATGTTGGGCAAGTCCATGATTTGTTATACCCTTATGTCCCAGAATTTAATTTGACAGCATCATTATTAGTAATTTTTCATCTTATATAACTTTATACAATCAGGAAATCATCATCAATGGTGATCTGTCGGTTTATGACAGGTTCAGTGACCCATTCAAAATTCTATATATATCAAGTGTCTCTCCAAATTTCTCTCCAAGTTCCTCGGTCTTGAGCCAACCGTTTCATCGTTTCATACCCCCGTCGCTCCACATTGTGTGATTACATCATCTAGAAAGCCTTTACGAGGTCTTCCCCTCTTCTTCTTTCCATGAATATGACCTTCTATGACCAGGGAAAAAATTAATATTTATTTTTCGGGGGCTACTTTTCAAGCTTGCCTGCATGAAAATAACATTCTAAAATTTGTTTTGCATTGAACTCTATGCAAATTTACAGGGGCTCTTTTTTGATTTTCGGGGGCTCTTTTAGGCATTTTGGGGGCTAATTCGCCCCGAGCCCCCGTGTATTTTTTTCACTGTCTATGACTCTGAGCATCAAGCCCTCGTCATGCTGTATTATGTGTCCAAGCCATTTCTCCTGTCTCTCTGTAATCGTTTGAATCAGAAAATATATTAAAATATTTGAACTAGGTTGCAGTGGGCAAAATACCTTGGAATTAGCCTCTAATGCACACATTTTCTCAATCATGTTAAATAAACATTCTCAAAGGATTACACCTACTAATTATAGTTTCATTGATTTCCTTCTTCTGTTTTATTAGGGAATCCCAAGCACCCCCGCTCAAGAGTTCTCTGAAAGCCACCTCCAAGAAATCCCCATCCCCTAACGTCGGACGAAGGCTCCTTTCGTCGTCATCATCCACCCCAGCAACCGTGGGATCAAAGACTGTGCGGGGCGCCCTCTCCTCCTTACTGGGTCCAAAGAAGAACCAGGACCAGTCCCAACAAGTGTCCAAGACCAAGGAGGGAGGAGGGGGAGGGGGTAGCAGTGTTGGTGGTGGTGGTGGTGTTGGTGGTGGTGGGAAAAAGGTGGACTTTGCATCAAGCTCTCCTACTCACCAACCTGCACAGACCAGCTCACAGAATCAGGTACAGGGCCCGTCGCACAAAAGTTAACTTTGCCATCAATGGTAACTACAATGTACCATGGAAACCTTGATTTTGATTGGCTGTTGATCCCTGTTACCTTGGTGGAAAAGTTAGCATCTAATCATAACGTCAACCACATGTGTTTATAATGTACTTGTTATTTTTCAATCTCTGTTGTCTTGACATGCATACAAGTGAAGATAAAATTATAATTTTAAATTAGTTTTTTGTTTGTTTTTGTCTATAGCTTGTATGAAAAATTACACCCATGGCACATAACAAGTTTTTCCCCATCACTCCAAAGCAAAACAGCTCATATCATGCTCTCAATGAAATATGTAAATAATTAATGCCATTCTAGTCACTGAATTCTTTAAACGCAACCGAAAATGAATAAAAGAGGATGTTTCTTATGAGCATTATTGTTCAGTTTTTATCAATAATTTTTGTCAATTTGTTTTTGTTATCGACTTCAGAAAGGCTTATGAATGATAATGATATCAATTATATACTATTTTTTATGTTTGTCAAAGGAGTGACAGCTCTCTGAAAACTAGAAATCTAAAGTTTTGAAAATCAGAAGTTGTCCACCTAAAAACTAGCTATCGACCGCATGACATCATCTTATGTTGAGTAGGCATATTCATAATGACTTTTATTGAACATGGCTCATCGCCTCAGCTATATAGGAGGTGCTCCACATGTTATATCGTCACCGTAACTGGAAAATTTGACCCCTGTTGACCAGTAATTTGGAGGGGTGCGGAAAAAAAGGTTTTAGTTTTCTTTTGTTCAATACTAAAGAGGAGAATTTGTATTCTACGTTCATTCAGCTTTCCATTGACATAAAGTTGTATTTTCATCAGATAGGGTCTTTAAAAATGTTGACTTGTACACTTTGAAAACACATCCTCAACCAGAAGTGAAAATCATTCTTATAAAATGTCTTCCCCTTTAAACTTAAGGTCCGTCTCCAGCAGCAGCATGCTCATGACAAGCAGAGACAGGAACTGTTTTCTAAGTCACAGCAGAGCCAGACACAGCAGAGCCAGGCACATCATGCACCAAAAGCTGCAGAGAAAACTCCAAGGTAGGTGCAGTTTCTGTAACTTGGTTTGGGTTCACTGATAAGGAGAGAGATAGGTACACACCAGTAGATGAATCAGGGGAAGGGGCTGATTTTTCATGCTTTTTTAGTTATAAAGTCTGAATGTTGATTTTCAGGAACTTTTTCTTGTTCTTGTCTAATGAATATGTTGATGTGCACTGTTTTGCATCAAATTGTGTGTTTTTCTTTTGTTCAGTATTCAGAATTCTGCAACACTTGACAGTGTTTGCCCGTTCCTCTCTCCCCACCCCATATTTCAACCATACTTTTACTGAAAGTTTATTCTTGTGAAATGAATATTTTGATTTAAGAAAATGTAATTTTATTATGCAGTGGTGTAAAGGAGGTTGAATTGTCAAGCTTCGTTTCTTCGAAACCTGAAGCAAGTCAGGGTTCTCCCTCACATGGATCTCAACCTCCTAATGTCTCTAAGAAGCCGTCGCCAAGCTCTACTTTCTTTCCAGGTAAAATAAGATGGTATTTGTTCTTTAATAATAATAATAATAGTGGGTTCTTGTATAGCGCTCACGTCTGTCAGACTTGACACTCCTGGCGCTCCATAGTTATTACCCCGGCTTTAGCATGGCTGCCAACACACCATTCTAGAATTTCAAGGAATTAACTACCGCCAGGTACCCAGTTACATCACCTAGGTTGAGTATGGCAAATGTAGATTAACGTCTTGCCAAAGGATATTAATGCCGGGACGGGACTCAAACCACGGAACTTGTGATCCACAGTCTGGTTACATATCCACTTGACCATGACACCTCTACATTCAATCTTGATTAGAACCATTGACATTGTGATTACTAATGTCTTTACGCCATCTGTTGAGAGCCAGTAGGGCATGAAATGTGTGTAAAGTACAGGAATTAACACCCTTCTGGCTCTCAACGGAGGACATGTACATTAAGTGTGACTATCCATTTTCTATAGCAGATAGTACACTTTCTGTTGGATCCTCTCTTTGTCTGCATTTGCAAATTACAGACTTTTCCCTCGTCATACTTTTTTACCATGCCCAAGACATACTTTTTCCAATTTTTCTTACCAATATCATTTGTGATGTACTTGTTTGTTCTCCATGCATGTCATTTTCTTTTTAAAACAAGGCAGCATTGCCCGAAAAGAAATATTTTAAAGTAGTACTATGTTATTTTGACTTACTAAGAAGTGTAACCAGATTTGCTCCTACAACCTTTGCTCCACGCTTTATTTAAACGATATATGTAGGTAGAGATTAGGTTTTGATATTCAGGTTTAACTTGAGTGTCAAGATTAATGTAATGGACAGTGGTGGGTCCAATGTAGAGATTAGGAATTGAAGTAGTGACAAAGTTTGTCTTTGGTGCACACTTACCGCTGGAACACCAGTTTGCAATTATGTATGAATGTTTCATATCTATTTTACCTTTGAATTCCTCTCATTTAGGAGAAGAAGAAAGCCTTGGAACATTCCTGATCTTGAGTCAAGATGAGTACACAGAGCACCATTCCTCTATTACATACAGTAGATTTTCACCATCTTCGACGTCGGTAGCTAGCATGGATATCGATGGAGTAGTCAAGTAAGCATTGCCAATTTGATTACCAAAATGGGATTGACTCCTAACCATTCTCTAGAGAAAAATTGTTTTCAATCTTTGTATTTTTTTAGATGGTAGGAAAGTCTAGTCACAATTGAAACACAATTGTGTTGATACTCTAAGCATGAAGCATTCACCTTATATTCTTCCTGTTCTTCCTGTTAACATCATCATCATCATCATCATAATGGGTTAAAGTCATCATTTGTTAATCTGTTACTGACTCTCGCACAAGGATACCCCCCCCCCTCCTCCTCCACTTCTTCTTGTCTTGAGCATCCTCCTCATTTAGACCCACCTTACTGCTCTCTTTCTTTACCATATCTTTCCATAAAATCTACGTTCGTCATCTTCATTTCTCAACACATTGCCCATCCATATCATTTCGCATTTCTTTACTACTTCCACCATAGTTTCTTCCAGACCCAATCTTTCCTTGAGCTCCCTTGTGTTCTTTCTTTTGGACAGTTCCACACCACTCATCATCATGGCTCTTTGAATTTCAATTTATTTTAAGAGATATGATATAGTAGAGCTGCTATTCTTAAATCAGGATAAGTTTACAGAGGTTTGTGTAGTATTATAATCCATTTTATCTATTTAGATAATGTATAAACAACATTTGAATATTGATACCAGTACACAAAGTTTGAAAGCACAGTTCATTAAACCAGGCTACTGTGCATTCTGTACAATATTGAATTTTTGTTATGAATATAATTTGTTTTCTTATCAGAGTTTGGAAGACAACGCCTAATCCAACCACCCTAGCAACAATAATGTTTAAAGCACCTCTCCTTTCTCTGGAATGGGTCCCTAAGACAGATAGAATGGTGAGTTTATCATATCATATTTGCCATCATTTGTCATTTTTTAAGTATGATGTTTAATCACACACTAGATCAGATAGTGATCTAAATATCTTGGTTTTCCTTGTAAACGACAATTATTTATTAAATTGTATGTTTTTGTCAGTTGTGATGGAATCATTGTGCAGCGTGAAACTTTCACAGGTCTAACCATTTCCAAATTTGCACTTTTCATGTCCCAAAAGTTTCTGATTTTACAGTATGTGGAATGATTGACGCATGTTGACAAAATGGTATGTTTTTTTTACCCCCAGCTAATCCTTGGCAGTTCAGTTGGTTCTATCAAGCTCTATGACTGTGATGGAAAGAAACCTATCAAAGAAGCTGAGATGGACGCAGGATTTCCTAGGTAAGACATTCTGACATCCCACCAATCTGTATCGTCAAATTAAAACTGGATTTCAGCAGAAGAATTATTTTTGAAGAAAGAATTATAGCCTTTGGTTTATAACAAGTCTTTTTATCTGTAAGAATACATAGCAATAAGAAGATACAAGGTAGTCAAGCAGCTGTTAGGCACTTGACCTGCAGGAGTGACCTTTAGTAGTCATCCACACTTTGTAACACATTTTTTCACTCTGTCATTGTTGGGCAATTAGCACATAGAGAAACATGTACTAAATAATGTCCCCTTAGTGATAGCAATATCAATATATCTCATTCCATCTCTCTCTCTCTCTCTCTTTCTCTCTCTTTGACAGAGTTGTGTCCATTGCATGCAACCCCAGTGGTACCACGTTCGTCTGTTCATCAGCGAGCCAAGTAGCAGAGTGGGGATCTGATCTCAGTAAGCCAGGCTCCCCTCTCCATGGGGCGTGCAAACTCACCACCTGGGATCTCAAGACCCTCAAATTACATGTAAGAAATTATAATGTTAAAGGTAATACAAAGTTGGGGTCATGAATTTGGTTCAAATGAACATATTTGAAGCATATGCGATCCTACAATATTCAATGGTTGTCGTCACGGTTGAAATTAGCTTCAAAACAATGTTTTTTTTTTACTGAAATCAACCAATTTTCTATTCCTGTTATGAAATTATATATCAGAACTGCATATTCCGAGATTTCCATGGTCGCAGCTACTATTGTGTGGCCATAGGTGCTATTTGAAATTTATCGAGAGCACCAATAAATTTGATATTTTAATTTCTTTAAATCCTTAGCGTTTTAGAGCCCAATTTTTTTCAAAGTTGCTTATTCTAACACTAGGTATGACAATGGTAATGCAAATTTGAAATTTCATAATCCAATCCTGTTGAAATATCACCAAAACTTTGTATTACCTTTAACAGAATTACATAACATTCTGTCATTGCTATAATTTGACCTGGCAGGGATAGCTATGACGTATCTTTAATATTTTATCTAATATCAGTTGTTATCATATAAAATTTACAAAGAAAAGATTGCTGTATATTGTTGTTTGTGGAATGCTGTAATATCAAAATCTGCAGGTGTCTTAAGTGAATCATACATTTGGGCATATACCTTGGTTTTCTACCTTCAAAAATCGAATCCTTAAGATAAGCCATGAATTGAAACATGACAGATAATTTATAATTTTACAAGATGATTGATAATAGATGTGCATAGTGTACGATGAGAGATTAATCAATAATTTTAAGAATCATGCTCATAGTTTTACTATATCTAACACTTTTCTAGCTGTTTTTTCTGTTGTTGCTTGTGTATAAGTGGATTTTTGTAAGAATAGTTGGTTGTTTTTGAAAAGTTATGAATCAAATGCATTATATCTTTTGTTTATGTTTGCAGAAAGAGCTTCCGCTGGCAAGAAGTGCTGGTTGTATAAACTGTACCTCCTTCAATCACAACGGTAATCTGCTTGTCACAGGAGCTGGGGATGGAATGGTCCGATTATTTGGTGAGTTATTTCAGCTAGGAAGAATCAATAAACTTTCCTCTTTGAATTGGCAACACTAAAAGTACATGAAAGATTCATTATTTTGTGTGTGATTGAAGGTCAGATGAATGCATCATTTTTATCTTTGTCAAATTTTCAACAATGAAAATACTTGAATGATAGTTACAGATTGCAGCTAAGAATTGTCAAGTTCAACATCAAATCAATAATTTGCATTGTATTAGTTGTTGCCAATTTTAAGATTTCAATGCATATCCCTGATGAAGATGCCATTGACAACCACATTCTTTGCAGGGAAAGAATTAGGCACTAATTGTTGAATGAACTTTTGCTTTTCAAACATTTAACTTTACCCTTTAATTGATTATATGTGTTTTGCTGCCTGTAACACTTCTGAAAGTTCTTGTGTAATTCCAATTTCAAGAGTACTTCTAAAATTCCTATTTCAGACATCCAAAGACAGGAGTGTTTGTTGAGTTGGAGAGCACACCAGGGTCAAGTGTATGCTACTCAGTTCAGTCCAGCAGAGACCTCTGTCTATAGCATGGGATCAGATGGGAAGGTAAGCATTTCTCTTTCAGTCCTTTTGGTTTGTCATGGCAACCGTTTCATCTTGGATATTAAGAAAACATTATTCTGGAATGCCATTCCGTGGTGGGTCATTCACTTGACTTCCAATAGAAACAGTGGTAGTTTGAATTCTGGGTACTGTTTCACAAGGCCTTTTTTCATTGACAAATGACAAAATTTAGTGACAAATCTGTTGATAACCAATCAGAAGCAAGGATTTCAGCAGCTTATAACAAAAACTGTCATTTGTGACTGATGACAAGTTTTGTGAAACGGGGGTCCTGGTGTCAGGATGTGTATGTATCCCATAACAAGGCTTTCATCTACGTTTGTCTTTCTTAAGCCAGGTGCACCTGTTATGATTTATTCCCTGCAATGCACTGTTAATATCAGCAGGTGCTAAAGCTACATAATAATAATAATAGTGGGTTCTTGTATAGTGCTTATGTCTGTCAAACTTGACACTCCTGGCGCTCCTGATAATTACCCTGGATTTAGCACGGTTGCCATTAGGGCGCTCTAGCATTTCAAGGAATTAATTCCTGCCAGGTACCCATTTACATCACCTGGGTTAAGTGTGGCAAATGTACATCAATGTTTTGCCAAAGGACATTAGTGCCCGGCGGGACTCAAATCGCTGAACTTGTGATCGACAGTCAGGTGACATATCCACTCGACCACCACACCTCTACATGTAGGATAATAGTTTCCAAAACGCAGACATTGCTTCATAATAATAATAATAATAAATAATAATAATAGTGTAAACTTATAGAGCGCACACACCGTCCAGGGACGCTCATGGCGCTAGCTCAGCAACAGTTCTCTTTGATGCAGGAAAAGTAAATAATTTTACAATTTTTTTTTTTTTGCAATATTTTTTGTTATGACCCATTTCGATCCTCAGCTCTGCCCGATGGGGCCCGGTGTAGTTTAGATCAGAACACTCATTCTTTCAACTCTTATCCTTATACCATTACTCAACACTTGTTCTTAATTGGCCATATTTTCTCTTTATCTTTCCCTATACACAGATATAGTTTTGTAGGCAATGGAGAAATGTGAAAACAAACAAGAACTGCTATGATTACTTTTTGTTTGTTTATTATCTGTAACAAAATGTCATTATACCTTGTGAAGATGTTATTTCAATGAATTCAAATTCCTTCATTCACAATCTCTGATGTTAAAGCATTTTTGATTGAAACTGTATCTTTGAACAGTTCCATTGATGTAGAGTAGTTTAGGTGTTGGGCCTACGTTGATTATATTCTATGTACTGTAATATACCGGTATACCATTTGTTTTATAGTATACTGAATGGAGTATACACAAAGTGGGACAGAAGCTGATGGATATGCCCATCCACGACGGAGCTACCGGTCCGTTCGTGGTATCAGGTTTTGGTGGATATAGGCAGCAGCAGAACCCAAGAGGAAAGCTCTTTGCTTTTGATTCCAGTGGGAACTACGTACTGACATGTGCTCCACATGGAGGGGTCATATACAAGGTCAGTGAAGAAAGGAAGAGAGATGAGAGCTCAGTTATGGAGGATGATTATGGTTGCTTTATGTGATGATGAGAGTGGTGGTGGTGGTGGTGATGCTGGTAAAAGTGATGGTGATTGTGTTGGTGGTGGTGGTGGGGGTGGTGGTGATGCTGGTAAAAGTGATGGTGATTGTGTTGGTGGTGGTGGTGGTTGTGGTGATGTCGGTAAAAGTGATGGTGATTGTGTTGGTGGTGGTAGTGGTGGTGGTGATGCTGGTAAAAGTGATGGTGATTGTGTTGGTGGTGGTGGTGATGCTAGTAAAAGTGATGGTGATTGTGTTGGTGGTGGTAGTGGTGATGATATTGCATGATTGGGATTGAGTTGTTGATGGTGTTGACAATTAATAGAAGTGATGTTCTTGGCAGTTGAGCTAGAAGTGGGGGTGATGATGATGATGAGGGTGATGATGATGATGATGATGATGATGATGGTGAAGATGATGATGATAATGGTTAGAATGCTAATAATGATGGGGAGGGTGACGATGGTGGTGATAATGATGCTAGTGATGATGAAGGTAATAATGATGGTGGTAGTGGAGATGATGATGATCGTCAAACAGTTGCACTTGCAATGCCTTTTAAAACATTAATTAAAATTATGTCTGATTTAAAAGATAATGATGATGGATTAGGGTGGGGGGACTGGGGGTACATTGGATAACAGAAATAAAAAGTGTTGATTGTCACTTAATAATAAATCCCATTTAGCAATTGAAATATCTTTGTGTTCTCCATCTCTCTCCTCAGCTTAACAAAGAGAAAGGGATGCTACGCACACTAACCATCCTTGGACACCGAACACCTGTCGTCAGTGTCGATTGGTGTACAACGCTTAACACCGGAGTGTGCTTGAGTGGATCCATGGACGGCAGGGTCCAAGTTACTACTTTACTTAGTCAATAATCCAATCTAATTCACAACTTTTGTTCCGGGGGCCCGTCTGATAAAGATTTGCAATTGGTCCAAGCCAATCACAAGTCCTAACCATTAAAAAATGTACTACAGTCAAACCTGTCTATAGCGACCGCCCAAGGAAAACACAAAAAGTGGTCTTTGTAGACAGGTTCCTTTAGTTCATGTTTCAATAAGAAACCATTTTCAAGGGAAACGAAAAAAAAATGGTCTTTGTAGACAGGTGGTCATTAAAAATAATAATAATAATAACAATATTTATAAAGCGCAAGATATCCATCTCTAGAGATGCTCAAGGCGCATACAAATAATTTAAATTAATATTCAACATACTTAAGATTAAAGAAATATTAAATGTTAACTTGCATTAGATCAAAGCAGGTTTGACTGTATCTGCTATCTCTCAAGTATTCAGTTGCGATCAATATCAAGTTATGATTGATTTGAATTCATTGCAGCTCTTAACATGATGGGCCCCAAAGCCCTGTCTTTTAAATATTTGCAATAAATTCAAATTGATTGTAACTTGATATCAATCACAACTGTGTATCTATTAGCAATTGATTGGACGTCTTGTGATCAATAAGGATCAAATGCAATTCATCAGAAGACATGGCCTAAATTGTATTAATACCATATAATTTAGGATTAACTGCAATTTCTTTTTTAATTATAAATACAAAGTCCATTGATGAAGGTTATCTGATACCAGGAAACAAATCATGTATAGGTTTATTATGCAAGTTCATATTGTAGCTCATATTTTTTTTTAAATTCTAGACACCGAGGTGGTTTGCACAATGAAGTGGTAAACCATGAGTGTATCATGTCGAGAATTGAACATATATGAAAGTTATTAGATACCGGTACTGGAGATATTATTCAAGATGATGGAAGAATTTTCATCTATTTTTTTGTTATTTTTACCAATCCATCACTGACTTTGAAATGTAGTTTTATTTCAGGAATTGTTCTAAGGATATTGTAAATTTACTCCACAATTTTACAAAAATGATTATAGCTGAAATCTTGCCAGTTTATAAAATTATTAGTGACACAATAATCGTCTGAGGCCCAATGAAGGAATTTATTGCATTTCAAAAAATACATTTTGTGCAAAAGACAACTACTTAAAGCAAGGCAATCGCTATGTTACGTTGAATATGTGTAATCTTGATTGAATCATTCCACAAAATTTGCTTATAGAAATACGATTTCTATGAGATGGTATTAATATAGAAGTATAGATACCATCATAGTTCTAAGTTATCAATCCTTATACCTTTTATATGATGTTTTGTAAATTTTTGTAAGAGATAAAGATTTTATTTTTCCTAATGTTTGCAATAGAATTGATGTTGTACATCACAACAAATCTGTTTGTGCAGAAGATATCAAATGAACTCGTCATATACTCTGAAAATAAGAAGACAAGACAAGCATTGGAATTAGTAGATGCAGAATAAAGGCTTAAGTTACAGAGAGACACTAGAAGAAAAAGAAGACATACCGCAACATATCTGAAAGAGCTTTTATTTTACTTTTTTCTCTCTACGACTATACCCATGTCTTTTTATGTAGTTAAATTTCCCTGTCCATCTATTTCTGTGTTTATTATTATATCTTTTGATCCATCTTTGTTCTGTTCCTCTAAAAAGTCTCATGCCGACATAAGGTGCTGAATTGCTTACAAAAAACAAATAATCAACCAAACTAAGGAAACAAACAAAAACACAGTGGCACAATAATTGTTAATTGTGCACATCACATTATTTGTGTACCTCGGTAATGCAACACTCTGATTAGTGAGAATGTTTAATGGGCTCTGCTTTTACATTCATGAAATTGCCTCATGCCATTTCAAAAAATTTATAAATATAGTGGATTTTATGTTTTATTTGCAACTTATGTGGGAGTGGAGGCTATAATGTTTAGTAAGAAGAAGAATTGGATTTATGGAGCACCTATCGCAAAGGATAATTGGTACTGTAACCACCAGAAAACACTCAGGGATTTAACTGATTCCATACCATTCCAAATCATGAACATTCAGAGTGATTTCATGTCTTTAAAAAAAAATTATCTAGAAATTTTGTACAAGAATATTAAATAAGAGAGCTTTAATGCTTGTACTGTGTATATATTTAGAGCACTAACTCTTGCTTGTCAAAATTAGATTATGGAATAATAAACTTCATATATACAGTTTGTTTTGTTTATTTGTACTTCATTTGTAATTCATTTGATTTTATTAAGTATATTTGAGTTTGAAGATTGATAACCATCTTTATACTATTTAACAGTACTCTGTAGAATTGGTCACATAATTTTGCTCCCTGTAAGATTGAACGGGATAGATAGGAACCAAATTTCGAGTCGTTTATCTTAAGTAATGAAGTAGACCCTTTTTTATTTTTTATTCCTTATCATGAAAATTGAATTGAAAAGAGAAAGTATTATTCCTAGATATTTAAAAGAAATTGACCAACTTTGCTCCTATTCACCCATTGTACGATACTTAAACTCTTTTGTAATAATAACAATAATACTAATAATAGTTAACATTTATATAGCGCTTAACATACTTTTTTCTAAGCACTTTACTTGAAAAATACAACTGTTAATGAGAATCTCAAACAATATACATGATAACATGACATGAAAATGTGCTATACAGTGCGAGTCAAAAAAAAAAGTTAACACCTAGGAAATTGCTAATTATCTTAAAAATCATCTATGAATAGTTAATTATTATACATCTTATGAAAGAGTGTTTTATCCCAAATCATTTGGTATCATTTTTGTGTGGTATGTGTTCATGCGGATGAACAGGAGGCATTGTTTGCAAGAGTGCAAAAATCGAGTAACAAAATAGCAAATTATATAACAAGGACAAAATTACATGAATTATGCAAATTTTAAGAACATGTGCGAAGAATTTGGTTATTTACTGTGTGTTCAAAAGGTAGGTGTGTAGTCGGTGTTTAAAAGTCTCAAGAGTAGGGGATTCACGGACATGGAGTGGAAGATTGGTCCAGTCAGAGTTTGGAAGCACCAACAGAGAAGGCATGATCGCCATAGAGGGTTGTGAAAGCAGGGACGAGGGGCTAGTTGAAGGTGAGCAGATGATGAAGAATGTAGCCTTGTAAGATAACTTGTGTTAACATCAGGTGTGATTTTGATGCAATGTGGTTAGGAACAAAGGCATACATTTATATTCAGTATTACACAATGATATTAAGAGATATCGGTGATGAGTTTGAGAGGTGTATTGAAATAAAGTTTGAGAGTGGAACTTCTATATCTTTCAATACAAACTGAAGAGAATTTTCAATACAAAATAGAGGAGACAAAATAGTGATGATTTATCGGTTGTTTTTATTACAAATACACAAGTGACATGTGGAAAAATAACAGTACAAGAATAAGAGTCTTCAAAATGAGACGAGACCAAAGTCAGAGTGACTTGCACAACCCTCACAGTATCAAACTTTGCATTCTAATTCACAAACAAGTCTATCATGACGATAAAAAAAACTCTAAAATATAAACTTCTCTGCACTTTCATTTCCCCAAACCATCACAAGACATCATGTATTAGGATTTATCTTCACATTGTCCAGGTATGTCCTCTTCACATTATTTGGTTTTGTATTTGAACTTGATGTTGCACTTGTATGTATAAGTCTGATACAAGATTGGCATGTACCAAACTTCAAATTTTATTCCCTAATAATGGGCCTTGACCACCCATTCAAAAAAAATCTGATCAATTCACCATTTATTGAGCATACTCATACAATATTCTTTTTCAATTCATGCACTTAGATCTCAATTAGCTATTTTGATACATTCATCAGAAGCGTATGGAAGTCAGACTCAAGAAAATCTAAAATCATTAGCAATGGCCAATGAAGCATGTTTAAAAATATAACAAAAGAATGAGTATGCTATTATATGGTGAGCTGAGCTAAGCATGTTGAGCGCCCTTGCTCAAAAAATGCCCACAAGAAGTTGTATTTTGAGAAGAAAACCCCTGCACCACACAATCATGGCATTCAAGATGAACACACCAAACTTGTAAGGAACTTTCATTACATTGTTGCAAACAAAAAACATACACTACTACATGAACTCATATACAATAATCATCACACCAATAAAATTATTTCTCATAATTTTACACATTTTTGTAATTTGTAAGACTTCATAAAGATTTCTAGTATGTACACATAATAATAACATATTTTCATATATTTACAAGTGTCTCTATTTATACAAGTCAGAACTTGTTAATAGTTTTTTCTTCTTCATATACACACCAAGTGTACCTGAAGTGAAAAATATTATCTCCTCTCCCCATATTTGTACATTGATACCTAAACATATTTAAAAAGGGGGGGGGGGATCTTTAAAAATGTACTTTTATGACAAGTTAAGAATCACCCAAACTGGAGAATGGTAAAGCTTTTCCTAGAAAGTAAAGACATAACTCAGTGCAATCTTAAACCAAATCAATTTATGCCCATTTCAATAGATGGGGAGAATAGTACACGTATGGGTAACTCAACATCGGCATGTGATTGCATCATTGTTCTAAATAAACAGAAGAGGGGGGTATATTTCCAGTCAATCTGCAGGCTTCTGCACACTGTGATAGTTTGGAATTTTACCAAGTGAACACTTCAGATTCTCAGAGATCAACACATGCATGTATCCTGTCTCTTCGAGTGCAGTGATTTCAAGTACAATTCACATGAAAAGTAATAAAACTTACAAGAAAAAGGAATTTAAACCAAAGATAATGACAACCCTCGGCCTGGGTCTTGAACCACCGATCTACAATGATCTTGAAATCTTGAAAAGGGTTGTGATTGATTCAAATCAACTGTAACACTTTATAAAACAGGGCTCTGATAGCAGCTCCTACTATGTTATCCAATGCTATTTCATTAAAGAGTGCTGGAGAGCAGTATCTAGTCTGAATACCCATAAAGCTTGAACATTAGTCAAATACTAGTAAAATAATGCTATGAACAATTTGAAATTTTTCATTCAATTTACATATATTCAAAGAAAACCCTCTGAATTTAAATTTCAATCCAATATTGATAAATGGTCCATGCATTTGTTGTTTATCAACTTTTCACACACAAAGATAATTTAGTGAATAGTACTACAATGATACATGTACATCTCAAGTCAGAATATGGCTCTGTCCTCAGATCATATTCAAGTACATGTATGTGCAAGGTATGCAGTCAATTGAAGTACTTACGCAGTTTGCTCTTTTAAGCTCAACGCTAATACATGATGCCGTAACTTATAGTACAATTGAGGCTCAAATCATCAACAGTACTTTGAAATCGATTCAAAGTTTCAAACACAAAGTGTGATACTTTATCATGAACCAAGAAGAGTGAAATTGCACACAGAATAAAAATCAAAGGTACACATACTAGAATACGTTACAGAATAAGATCGAATACACACAACAATGAAACATTAATGACAGAAAAAAAGAAAGAGTATTGGCTTTGGTTTTATGGTGGGGATAAAAGGGGACATGCATGTTGTACAGTACGCAGTGTATTATGACCAGAGATCCTTTTATACTTTATTACAACCAAAACGGTCATTATAATAACAATTCTGATATTCTTCCAGAATACAATAAGTTATGCTACTACAAATCAGCTCTTCAATCATTCCATATCTTTTTGCGCATGGAAAATATTCTCAACATCTAAAATTTATAAAATAAATTTCTTGTAATTAAAAAATAAATTGAACAAAATGAACATCATCTCTTCCATATGGCACATGAAAACTGGAATGCAACTTAGTTCTTTTGACATTCATTAACTGCTTAATATAGACAAAAGAATAAAGACGTTATTAATTACAACATAAATCATCTGATCTATCCCCTTACTGTAAAGGAAAACAAATCTTGTAAAGTGTGCACCATCTCCACTCCCCTAAGAGTACTCCTGTTATCCAATCACTGTGAGCTGCTAGGGTTTCAAGGTGAAAATGATCAGATAGCTCCCAGCATCCTCTAATGGGCCTGGCTAAGATGACGATGATGATGATTAGGATGATGATGATGATGATGATTTATTTTAGTGGCAGTAGAAGTGCTGGTGGTAGTGGGTAATCATAATTAAAATGGAGACGATGATGATAATGATGATGATGATGATGACTGAAGGGGCAGGGAAACCATATAGCTTTACACGATGAACCTAACATGTTGTGTACAATATAAATCATGAAACAGAGAGGTGACAGAGCCTGAAATTAGGCAAGAGTATGAAAGCTGGAATCCCTGATAAGGGTGATGATGATGATGATGATGATGATGATGATGTTGATGATGATGTTGATGATGGTGGTGGTGGTGATAATGATGATGTTGATGATGATCATGATGATGGTGTTGACGATGATGATGACAAGAAGATAACAATGACGATATCCATGATGACCTTGGTTGCAGTCTAGCAAAAGGACATCCAATAGTGAAGGCTGGATGCTTCATTTCATCAAGCAACACAACAGCAAGCCATTGCCAATCATTCTCCTCTTGTGAAGTTGCCTCATCCAAAGAAGGATCAAATAACACGATGGTTAGCCACAGTTGGATTTTCTTAGCTTTCAAAAGTCTACCAACACATCGATGAGCGTCACATGACAGAGCACATTGAACTCCGTGTGTGAGATGACATCGGTCTCGGTACAGGGTCCTCCCGGGCTTTCAGTACTTCAGCTTTTACCACTCGCTGGATTGGGAAGACTAGAGTCAAGGAAATAATAAGTGTATGCCTGGAGAGAGTTTCTGTAGAGGGTCATCTATTTCTGTTTCTTAAAAAGAGGTCTTTAAGAAGAGCATAAGAATTTCCACACAATATATATGTATAATTTTTTCATGACAACTTTTAGAGACTTACTTTCATCTCCATTTTGAAATAGATTGAAGCACTGGAATATTAGGACAGTTACAGTACTCCCTGGACAATCTTCAATGGACAACTCCAATCTGAAAAAGACCTACCCCATACTGCCCAGGACTACTATCCCCACACAACTACACAAGAGGAGGGGGGGATGTTGTCCAACGATTATTGTCCAGACTCCAGGGGCAGTTGTCCCGATACTGTCATAATGTTATCATTACACTAATTCATCAATGTTTTACAGAATATCAAGAGGCCTTGTGTATTGAATTCCATTACTATTTCCTTTATGTATGCTCCCTCCCTCTCTTTTTCAGATTTCTTTGATTTAATATGTTACAAAGTTAGCGCGTATAAACTATCACCACAATAAAATGACAGTACAAAGGATACAGTGTTGTTTTGGATTTCAGCTTTTGTCAGTTTGATACCCAGGATATCTGCAGCTATTTTCTGGAAACATAAATTAACCTGCATGCCAAGAAAGAAAAAAAGTTTATTATCATTAGTTATGATGGCAGATGAGGAAAGAAAACACAAAAATTGATTGTTAACTACCAAGAAGCATGAAAGAATTTTAAAAAAGGACAATTATTGCAAGTGTACTTGCCTTTACTCATAGCCAACTGAATCACCTTCAGGTATCATATATAAGACTGACAATTGAATTAGGAATTATTTATCATATCAATAATTTAATATTTCATTTCCATCATAATGATGTATATGTACATGTATATGCCACAACTTCTTATATATCACATTAACACATCAGTATTAGACTTAAAGACCATTAAATCAGTTTACATTTAGATCAATCTTTCAATTATTTAGTTCCTTTATGGCAGAGATGTACCATCAAAAGCAATAGATTAAAATTGAGTCACTAATATAATAGAGAATTTCACTTCTGCTGCCAAATCCTTCATTAAAGTATTAAATGTATAATGATGAAAGGCCTTGTGTGTGATACAGGGACATATACACGTAGCAAATGCTTCAAAACATATTTCATGGGTAGGCAAAATTATTGAAATATTTTCAATACCCTTGTGTTTTACAAAAGAATATCAATTACAAGCAGATATTGCTATTGTTTTAAACTTTTGATTCTTCCCTATATTTTCAACATTATACTATTATATCTTTTGTATTAACTTTCGTATTTATTCCATGATGCAATATAAAGACGAAGCAATACCAGTAAGCATTTTGCAAATCATAAACACATATTTGCATATAAACATACATAATCACTTTTCACATGTTTAAGCAAGCAAACTGTGAGATGTTTAATTGATACATGTAGAAGGTAATTCATGTACTCTATTATACCAGTTATACCAATTTTTCTGGTCAGCTGAAAAGCTAACCTGTCATAAGTACTAACCTGTAGATACAGTAACTCGGTCTGGGGTATACTGTATATTCATGTTATACTCAAATTGATATCCAAATGATAATGTGTGTGTTAAAGTTGAGAGGCAAAGAAGACACTGTCCACTTGACTTACCGAATCACCTGTCTTCGCAGAGACAAAATGGCTGGACATGTTGTGCTCTTGACATAACTTTTGATGTTTCTCATCTTTCACTGTCCTCATATGCTCCAAGTCGGCTTTCAAGAAACAAAGAGATTAACAAATAACAATAAGTAATGGTCCGGCAACTAACTGTTCATTTGAAACTCTAAAATCTGTAATAAGGAACTGCAATCATAACAGAACTAAAAACGGGCTGCCCTTTGTTTAAACCGACAATATTTGGTCCGGCATGACTCCTGTTCATTGAGGTTGATCGTACACATTCAAGGTGAAAACACATTGTTTTCTTTAACAGGTGATTGGTACTTAAAAAAAATATGTTTTGAGAATAAAAAGAGTATAAAATTAACAAATAAGACTTCTTAGCCGTGATAGCACAATGGCCCAAATGCACAAAGGAGGTTTAACTTAACCCATGGTTTAAACCCTCATTTACATAACCCATAGTTTAAAAATTAGCGCAAAATAAACGTACCTTGCCTTGCGCGAGTCTAATATTGGACCTCTGACTGTGTCATGCTTATTTCGTGCTAATTTTAGACCATGGGTTATGTAAATGAAGATTTAAACCATGGGTTAAATTCAAACCTCCTTTTTGAATTCGGGCCAATGACTCTAAGCTTTCACCTGCCAAGTAAACATATTTGACAGTTAGAATAATTCATGATTACCAACATACCTTTATTACCCACGAGTGCAACATGAGGGAACTTATCTGCATCTTTGCAGACATCCCTTAGCTTCTGATACCAGTCCTCGACGTTCTCAAAGCTGCTGTAATTAGTGATATCATACACCAATAACACTCCCTGTATGAAAGCAACAACAAGATAGGAAATGTCATTTATCATTGAAAGCATTGACTCTTCATCTGATTCAGTTGACAACAGAACAAACGGTGAACCAATGCAATATAATGTGTACATGCGGCAGTCTAGCATTTCAATCCTTCGCAGAGACGCAGACAAAGAGTTAAAAAAAACGTTAATATACATATTCCACTCCAAATATAAGTTTTAAGTTTTACTCAGATTGCAATGATGCAATAAATATAATTTTAAATAGATCATTAAATACCAGTCTAATATTTGTGATGATTATCACAATTTGCAAAAATGCAGAGCATTTTCTATATCATATATATGCATCATGTAATACATGTGTAGTACTATTTTACCTGATCTCAAATTGCTGCTGATTATCGTTATAACTTGTATAACTGCAGAGCATTTTCTTTACTATGCAGCAACAACAAAATTCAATGAATGAGAAACTAAAAAAAAAAAAAAAACTAAAAGCATCTTCAAGCAGTGTCTAAGCTTTCACTTACATGAGCTCCATATAAATAGTTTTCCAGCATTTTTCCTCCGAGCGTCTGTCCACCAATGTCCCAAACTTGTAAAGAAACATGAGTGTTGTCTGGAAGGACAGGCAAGAAGAAAACATTCATAGCTTGTTCAAACTTCAGAAGAAATTGATACATAATTATTTTTTAAAACTACATACCACAATCAAAGTCAACTTACATCAATTATTGCAATTGTGATACAAAAGCAAAACTAATATTGAAATACCCAAAATGACAAATACTTTTTCATATTGTCGTAGAATTGAATATCATATACTTTTTTCAGTCTCTTACTGACTTTGAAGTCAATGCTATTAATTGGGGGAAAAATTAGGTAAGATAACTTTAATAAGATACTGGTAAATCCTTAACAGATAATAATGGCTTTAGGAAATTGCTCACACTAAACATTACTCAGATGTAGAAATAAAACATGTTTAGATCTTATATTGATTCACAACAGTCCTTATATTGTTAAAAAAAATACGAGTGACGTACAAAACAATAAATTCCTAATAAAGCATGTAGTATCTGTATACCTAAAACTGTCCCCCTGCATAAATAGCAGTAATATTATGTCTACATAATACATACCAGCAATGCATATTCTCTTGAGAAAGAAGTCAAGACCCACAGTCTGTTGGTATTGCTTGCCAAACTGTTCCTGGGAGTAACGTGTCGCTAGAGATGTCTGTAGAAGGAAAATCATGTTTAAATTAAAAAATATGGATACATGTTGAAATGTAAAGTTGCAAAACAGTGCTGAAAGTCAAATTCAGACAAACATGCATCAAAGTCTTCAGGAGATTTTTTTCAACCTCAATGACAGATTGCATCTACACAACTTAAAAAACACAGTAACTCTCCCGTTTGTTGTGTACAAAAATTTGACCAAGTACGGAGTACCTTCGCTCTTGGGACACTACTCAAAATATCTTATCTTATTGTCGTGTCTCCTTAGATCAAGATTGATGTAATCTTGATCTTGGGAGTAGTTGCTACAACCGGCCGTGTCAGACACGTTGCCCCGGGGTGCGAGATAGGACTCTTGTAGCGTGCCCCCATTTAAAACAATTATACAATAACAGTTAACATTACATTTAATTAATAGTAGACCTATGAAACTATGAAAATTACTCTCATGTTACGGGAAAAAATATTGCATAAATATATTATGAATCAATTGATTTGGTCGATCCAGTTCGATGGCACAAACACGGCACTACTGGACAGATAGATCCTAATAATTACAGAGCTTGGTCTTGTTGCTCTGTTCGCCAGAAAAAATATCTTATTATGAAGAAAATATAGATCTAGATCTAATAACCCTAACCCTAAACCTGCAAAAACTGACTGTTTTTGCAGCGGGGCCAAGTTGTCCCCGGGTCTGAGTTAGCCCGACTCCATTTTCTTAGTAGAGATGTCTAGATTCTAGTAATCTCCAAGTCAGATCGGAGTTAATTACGCGTAATTACGCCTTTCGTTACGGGTAAAAAAAAATTATACGAAAGTAGACTCTAGACCTAGACAGTAGACTACACTATCGCTGATGTCCAAACTAGTAAATAAACTGATTTTCGTGTCTATTGCCATGATTTGATTAATGACCCTGCATGAGGATTCGGGTCCTGGTCTTGCCCTGGTCTTGCCCTTGGCTTGGGCCTTGGCCTGGTCTACCTCCTCAAAGCTACCAGTACCAGCTAGCCAGCATGTCCTGTGCCGTCCGCGCTGGCGCTGGCTCGCCATATTTCTCTGCCTAGGAGCTAGGCCTAGGTATAGGGCCTAGGCTATATCTGCTTACCTTTCCCGACGCACCATCACCAACAACGACGATTTTCAGTTGTTTTCCCCTATCCCTAGCTTCATCTTCTGAATCAGACATGGTCCACAAGTTCTAAAATTTCTATCAGAATTGACCAAGATACCACTTGTTCACTGCAACTTCTCAAAATTGTAGATAGTTGTCGTCTTTTCGACGTTTACATACGTTTCACTACACTATGCGATTGATATGCGAATTACTGGTATCTAACGTACACAATTACAATGCAATGTATTTACGTCAGGAAAAAAAAAGGAGATATATCGTATACTATTATCTGCGTACCGTTATCTCGTACGGTGCAGTGACTGGCAAATAAATAGGATACAAAAAAGAAGGTTTCGGGCTTCATGGGGGGGGGGGGGGGGGGGGGGGGGGACGGGGGTAACAAACAGTAAGGTTAATGAAATAGGTGAGCTCAATTATGTGGAAGGGTCTTTCATCTTCTTGCCACTTCACATTCCCTCTCGCATCTCTCTCGCTTCTTCTTATTTCTCTCGATCTCGTTTTTCTTCGTTTTTCGAGGACACCCGGCCAAGCTCACCCCCCCCCCTCGATCGTGCCCGATATAGCTACATCACCGTGCATCTTTCGATTCATTCTTGTCATGCAATGAAGAACTCATACCCGGCCCATTGCCTTCTAAAACATGAAATATACAATACAATACATGAAAACTTTTTATTTGGATGCACATGTCTCCATTGTCAAAAATATTTTTTGACCGTATATAGAGAGATAAATTATTGATAGAGGAAGGTATTTACAAAGAGTTCGGTAAGTATGCCATCTCACATTGAAATCATTAATAGATGTATAGGCCTATATATACCATCAGATACTAGTGTTACTATAACTAACATCAACCTAGTTGTGATTAATTATTAGTTCAAGTATAAAAGCATATGCAACTTATTTAGATGAGATTATTTTGCGAACGCTCACATGAAGTTTTTATACTACCCTCTCTCTCTCTCTCTCTCTCTCTCTCTCCCTCTCTCTCTCTCTTTCGTTTACTCTCTCTCCTCTTCCATTAGCATCTAATTTCCTATTTGTACGAAATGTTTTATAGTTTGTTTATATTAATGTCCTTTGACAAGACATTGATCTACATTTGCCACACTCCACCCAGGTGAAGTAAATGGGTACCTGGTATGAATTTATTCCTTGAAACGCAGCGCGCTTAACAGCTGCACTGCTAAAGCCAGGGTAATTATGCTGCATTATTGTAGAGCGCTTAGAGACTTCTGATAAAGTAAGTGTTAGGCGCTATATAAGCAAATATAATTATTATTATTTATTATGTTTTTTTTTATTTATTGTATATTTTGTGTATTTGTATGTGTATTGTAAGATATTTGAAATGTAATTTGTTTGTAACAGCAGGGCTCCCTTGTAAAGCAGGCCTTGCGGCTTGAATGGGACCACCCTGCTTTTTATAAAGAAGACATGAATAATAAATAAATGGGCCCGAGGAACAACGTACTATTAAATAAATCGGAAGTATGCTTGATAAAATTCACATGATGGATGAAGGAGGGGCAAGCAGACATGCCTCTGGCTCCACATGAATTTTATTTGGTTACTTGAAAAGGACAACAAAAGGATTTTACGGTGGTGGATTTGCCCCAGAACAGTTCAGTTATTTTTTGATTTTTATAACTTGCAAAATGTGAACAAAAGCTTCACCAAACAATTTACGAAATCTCCTGATAGAGCAGATCGACTTTCACTGACTCTCACTGGTGGGACAAGTGGAGGATCCAGGGGGAAAGGGTCCCTCCCCTGGGGAAAAACAGGTAAAAACACGTTAATTTTACCTTTATTTGGAAACGGGCCCCCTCCCTTGGTGCACAAGAGAGAGAGAGAGAGAGAGAGGGGGGGGGGGGGGGTTAGACAATTTTTAAATTTTCGAGGGCAAACAAAACATAGTGCTTATTCACCGGCTGGCTGAGTCGGCGCTAAATATTTCCAGAAAAAAATGGACCTAAACAAAAAGTGCCTCCCCCCCCCCCATCCGCTTATTCACCGGCTGGCTGTTTCACCGCTCAATATTTTCTCACGAATTGGGCCCCCTCTTTGGCCCCTCCCCTGCCGCCGGCTAGATTCGCGTCTGGGTGGGGCTATGTGGTCCACTTCCTCTCCGAATAGGCCTAATCAAACAATATCAACACGCAATAAAAGGGGAAAAAACACCGTCATATAATGCATAGTTGAAATTATACTTTTTAGAAGGGCAGGGAGAGCATATCCCATGAATTCCGAAACGTTGCTCTCATTCACGTGCTTATCTCAGTGAAGTCATAAAGTGGCGTATTTAGATATTGATATAAGGAGGGGGATTCTCATTGGAGATGGGAAAAGGGTTTAGCCCATGTCCCCCGGTTTGGAAACCCAATTTATTGACATTTCTATGGGGGCCTTGAAAAAAGGGGGCGGTCATGCGTCGATCGGCTATTCCTTATTTGCTGGATACCCAATGTCATGCTGATTTTTTTAATGAGAACTTGGAGATATGCTTTGCTACTCTCTTCTCGCGAGAAAATAAGTATGAATAATTTTAATATCATTCTTTTATCGAATAATAGTAATTCTGAAAAATGTCTTAATGCGATATATTCAAACGCCTGTTTACCCCATATTAACAAACGTCAAACCCACAAGAAGTGATCACCATTCTTCGACTTTGATCGATATCATATTTTTAAACATTTTGTGATAAAATTATTAGGCCTACTAGTGGCTTACTTTATTCAGAAATATCAGATCCTCTTCCAATTGTTGTTATATGTTAATAGTAATAGTCACTGAAAACAAATTAAAGGGAAAGTCCACCCCCAAAATAAGTTTGTTTCGATAGGGGCAGAATAATAAGAAAATCAGGTGAGTGAAAGTTTGAGCAAATTCTGAATGAAAATAAGAAAGTTATGAATTATTGAAGTTGTGATCAATCAAATACAAATTGGCAACTCTGTGACTTATTATACGAGCTCTCCTTCATTTGCTTTGTGCATAATATTCCATAAAATCATGTTTTCTTCGTTATTGATGACGGAATATATATTTGTTCCTTGCAGGGGGAGTATAGAAACATATTTGCAATTATTATATTTAGGGTGCATGTATGGTTGAAATTTTTCTTGAGGGAAAATGAAAATTTTAGATTTTTTTAGTACTGAGCAAATGGAAGTTGAGCTCGCATGATACGTCATAGAGTTGCCAATTTGTGTTTGATTGATCACAACTTCAAAAATCCTAACTTCCTTATTTTTAATCGGAATTTGCTCAAACTTTCACTGACTTGTTTCTCTCATTTTTCTACTCCTATTAAAACTAACTTAATTTCAGGGTGGACTTCCCCTTTAATAATGTATTGAAAAGAAACGTTTCAAAATGAAAAAAAACAGTCCGTCTAAATCGGTTGGAGTCAGTAAGATTTGGTAGTTGTTAACATCGAATTCACATATCTATTACACAAGAATTCACTCTTAATCCATCAGTAAATACCAAGAGCTCTACGATGCGACGGGGGTGGGGTGTGGTGGTTGCAGCTTCCCCTCCCCGCCCTAAAATCAACATTATCAATATTTGGGGCAATCATCACACTATATTTAGGCAACAAGATCGATGCACGAGTTTGCAAGTATATATAATACATAGATATACCATCTGATTTTACTAATGATTAAATCAAAGTTAACCACATAAAAGTGTTTTTTTCACGCTCGATCGCAAGGTTCATAAACTGGAACATTTCATATTCAGGCAAAAAGTGTTGGCCCCCTTGCGAAAAATATGCCTGTATACCTGCAAAGATTGTCTGCAAAATTAGACTACGTTAGGCACTTCACTTTAGCTGCTGTTTGACACAACCAGAGACCGACATATATATCTAGGCTTTACTCAAGGGTGTCAATTTGGGGTATGTGCTTTCAGAGCGAGCACAATCTAGATAAATATAATAACTATGTATTGTGCTACCGACCTCACCACAGACTTTTGCCGGTTGTTCTATCATGTTGACAGCCCTGCGAGAGCTTGGATAAAACCAAAGAACATTAGCATTCACGATGTCCGTTTTTAGTTATTATTTATTTGTAATGTTTTGGACAGCAAATTACCAATAACTGGGATCAGATGCCCACATGCCTGAGTTGCCCCTTCCTTTGCCCCTCCCCCTCTCTCTCTCTCTCTCTCTCTCCTCTCTCTCTCTCTCTCTCTCTCCCTCTCTCTCTCTCTCTCTCTCTCTCCTCTCTCTCTCTCTCTCTCTCTCTCTCGTGCCAAGGTCATGATTTGCATCACAAATAGTTTTTCCGACTGACTTACAATAAATATGTATTGAAATGTGCATTTCATGTGAAAGGTTTCGTTTTGGTGTACGCACAGACAGCGGCGTAATGAACACTACAGTTTTAGGGGAGGGGGGGCAGAAGTAAAGAAAAAAGCCGGAAAATTATGTCTTTTCAGCAACATTTGTAAATCACCGGTATCGAATAGACTTATTATTGTAATTATGGGGGTGGCAAGCCCCCCTCCCACCTCCCCCTATCAGTACGCCAGTGGCGGCCCAGAGATAATACGAACACATTCTACACCACCTTTCTGTACTAATATTAGTCATGGTATCTTGTTTGTTGATTCTAAGTGGGACTCGGATTATGGATAAAACATATTTCTGCAAACGGAATGTGTATTGGGAATAATGTCTGGGGCTAGTGCACTGCGTTTTATAACATAGTGCCAATATCGGGTTCGCTATTTACTATGAACGCCAGCCTTTATGTTTCTTCTCGTGCGTAATAAAAGCATTTCAACCTCACTTTGTTCCTTCATCAAACGTTCAAGAACAAACTTGTCAAGTGAGTTGCTAACTGTTATTTTGACTGAAATTTGAACAAGATACATATGAAACTTGGTAGCTGGGATGCATTTATAGTCAACACTGCTGATATTTAGCAAAGGTAAGCTTCCACGTTAGAATTATCATGAGAATATTAAACACAACGATAACTCTTTAAAAAACTGTAATAAAGTGTCAATTGTAATGTCTACTATTTGAATTTGATTTTTTTTTTCGATATCAAAGCAACTTCTAAAGTGTTTGGAGCCCAAAATTCTCCAAAGATTTGATGGCAAAATTCCACTTAAATTGTATCATAATGTGAGAGAGGATGTCAGTTAAGACACACTTCTGCAAAGTTCCCCGCCCCCCAAGAAAAGAAT